TAGGCGAATATGATGTGACAGGAGGTCGCTTCTTGGAATCGCCCCGATTCTTAGAAATTTCGTCATTTCCCGGAAATGACGAAAATTCCAGGAATTCTCGAGAACTGAAAGTTTCGAAGACCCTTCGGCCGAAAATCGACTTTCTAATAGGCGAACATGATATGATAGGAGGTCGATTCCTGGAAGTGACTCGATTCTCGGAAATTTGGTCATTTCCGAGAAATGTCGTAAATTCCAGGAATTCTCGAGGACTTTAGCACCGAACGAGTATACTCGCGCGATTTTCGAAATCCTTCTCTCATTTTCGTAGTTTTCGCTAGAATTTCTGGATTTTTTCGATGAAAACGCATTCCCGTAAATTCCAGGAATTCTCGAGGACTTTAGCACCGAACGAGTATATTCGCGCGATTTTCGAAATCCTTCTCTCATTTTCGTAGTTTTCGCTAGAATTTCTGGATTTTTTCGATGAAAACGCATTCCCAGTAGTTTCTGCCATTAATTTATCGACTTTTGCAACGGAAAATTGTTTAAACAATGGGTTTTTTGCAAAAACAAATGGATTTGGAGTGTAAAGGAGCAATAAATAGATTGTAAAATGCTGTAAAACAATACTGGTATATTGTAACCTTTTGTAAAATACATTTTGTACAGTTATCTTACAATAAATAAGTTGTTTTATTAAGTTAAAGTGTACAACAATATTATTTAAGACTTCCAATAATTGTAAACAATCATCTAAATTGTTATTTAACAAGAAATACTAATAATTCTATAGTCAAAGTACTTGAAAATACTTCACTTTTACTTTACACATGTCATGGAGTTTGTAGAAGAAATGACACTTCGCAGTAGACGTACTCAAATATAGCCAATTTTTTACGACATGTACTTTAGTTTTTAAAGGAAAACTACGTGAGTTGATGCGGATTTATCACAGTTTTACCGTCATCTTGTAGTTCAGTTCTTTGTATTCATCTGGTGAGACATAAAGTCCCATAAGATGATAGGTCTATTCTATACCTCGTTTGTGGTATTACATTGTCATTTATTAAAATAACAGATTTAATAAATGCCTGCTTAAAAACTACAAAATATTTAATATCCCATTACATAGAATACAACTATATTTGCACGTATACAATAAATATATGTCTCCGTCATGCATTATAAAATACTGTTCATTCATCAACTTCAGTATCTTCATCCGCTGGTACGTCAACGGCACCATGATCTAATTTATTCTTAAAAAGTTCAATATACTTAAGTAGTCGTTTGTCATAATTTAAAACCTGTAAAAAATATTAGTGAATTTACATACGATTTATAGTATGCAGTCAGTAATAAATTGCGCGTGTAAGATAATTACCAATTCCGTAACATTGTTCATAGCTTCCCGTATATTTTGTTTGGATGGATCGTCTACCTCTAGGTGCAGATCTTTCAAAGATTTAACCAATGTTTCCTTATCGATACTACTATCTGGATTCAGTATTTCTGCCAGAATAGTAAAAACTATGTTATTGTGGACACAATAATGTTCTGTATCAGATTTACGAATTCCGAATCTACTTAAGTTCAGTATGAATCTGGATATATCGTAAGGATCAATTTCTTGCAAGGGACTGACTTCCGGTGCGTTGCATATAATTCCTAACGTCGGCAGGTATGCCTCCTCTAGTAGCATTTGAGCATCAGGTACACGCGTGACATAATTATCAAAGAAACCGCTTAAACATTGTCGAAGATAAAAGTCATTATCGTTCACAGGATTATAGCATAAAATTATTAGTCTGGACAATAAACTCGAGTTACTGATTCGTTGATTAAGTAACAATTTGCAAAGGCCTTCAGCGGCAACAGTCCTTAATTCTTGATTCTGTTTTTAATAGAGACACATATTATCTTATTGAAAGTATACGAAAATTACCGCATATAAAATATATATACTTACTGTATTATCTAATAATCCTGCTAAGATTTTAATAAAATTACATCCTTCTGTGTGTGTCTTATTTACCGACGTTAAAGAAATATCTGAGTCAGTATTATTATACAATTTGGTTCGAGATTTTTCACCTTTATTAGTAGTGTTCTCTTGCGTATTTTCTACAATGTCGAAATACTCAAGGCCATATAATAATAAAAGATCAAAAATTCCTTTTAAAGCTACGATCCAAATTTCTACATTTTCTTGTTCCAGAGAAAATTGTAAAAATAACGTCATAATATGTTGTTTGGCCAATTCCTTGTCCAATATACAACAAATACTGACCGCTTTTACCGCCAGTATGTGTACTCTATCATCTGAATGCTGAAAATAAGTTACATTGAATCACTTAAGATTAAATAGATTTTTACTTTCATTAAATACTTACATCTAAACTATCGAGTGCTATTTGCATAAGGCTTCTAAGAGTCGGCGTTAATGCATTCACAGACTGCATCATTGTACATATAATGCTCAGACATTTTATCATCGTTTCTGGATCATTCTTTTCCTTAATCTCCTCAATCGTTACTATGTCCGGTTGTTTTGATAATTTTGTTATTTCCTCAGTTAATGAATTTATTTGATTTTTTAAACTATCTGCTTTTAAGTATTGCTTCTCTTCTATAGCTTGATACTCTTCTTCTTTCAGTTCCAATAATTTGACTTTGAGTTTTGCCCTCTAAAAAACACTTTTCATTAAAGCATAGAACAATTTTTTATTTTTATTAGGATTTACAATTGATATATTTTAACCTTATTTCGAGAAAATAAACCTACATGCATGTTAATCTCATGTTGTTGCTCTTCTGAAATTTGTGTGTGTACTTGTGTTTCCTTCAAAGGTAATCTAATTTCACTGATTATATTGGCTAATATGTCCAACCTACTATTCACATCTGGTATAACTTTTTGTAAATGTGTTACTATATGTTCAATAATTTGTTCAGAGCAGTGATTACTCATCAAAGTATTACAGATTACTTCATTTAGTTTTTTTCTTCCAACTTCATCAGATAAATCATAAGTTGTTATTATTTCAAATAACTGTAATAAAATAAATTTCTGCGTATGATATACCCATTTTTCACTTTGTTGTGCAGACATTGTTACAAGGAAATCAGAAATGTAAGTGCAAAAATTAGATAATTCTGGAATTATTGTTTCCAATTCTTCTGTACACATTTCACGTTGAAGATGTTTTACTAGACATTTCCAATACAATGCATTTTCACTGACTAACTGATCTGTTGGAATTAATTTTGTTTCTTTATCTACTGGTAATTGTTCTATTAAATTATTTAATGCAGCACTCCTAGAAAAATAAAAATTAAACATTTCTTGTATGAAACAAATATTAAACTGTAAAAATGATTATATATAATTCAAATACTTACTTAAATAAAGACTCTAGAGATAAAACAGCTACATCTGTACCAATTTCAGCATCAAGAGCTTTTATTAAACTGATAAAATTCCCATTGAAGTGTCTTAACCATGCTGGTAACAAAACATTTTGAGCAGTTTTTCTAACTATTTCAGATCTATCTTTAAGACCATCATTTAGCAGCTGATCTCTCTGTGTAATGGTTAAAGATCTTACGGTAACTTTACTAATGAATTCATATGCTATTTTACGAACTGACTCATTCACATCCCTGGTCCTTCTTAATGCTACTTGTAAAGTGTTTTGATTTTTTCCCATACTCATTAGTGCTGCTCTACGAACATCAGATTTTGGATCTTTAGTGGCATGAAATATATACATTTTTATAACTGGACATTGATCATCTGCTGGATCTTGCAATCTATGTAAAGCAAAAATTGCTTGAGCTCTAACTTTTGGAGATTTATCCAACAACCGATTCATCATAGAAACAGTAATTTTATCACAAAGATCATCATCCATAAAAGCATGTTCACCCATTGAGTTTAATAGTATATTTAAAAAATGACAAATACGAAATCTCACTCCTGGATTTTTTGCACCATGATTTGTTAAAATAAAGTCAAACAGTTTATTAAGAAAGGGGCATAAAGGTTCTTCAGTTTCAACATCGTTATCTGTAATTGAATATAAACTGGCGGCAAATTTAGCCACAAATTCCAAAGTATTTTCAACACGAGGATGCCGCCGAGGAATACTAAGCGGGACCCTAAAGCAGGATTCGAAGTACTTCCAAAAATATGACAGATTAATCTGAAATGAAAGACAGAAAAAATATTAACAATTTGACATTATATACAAAATAATTGTACCGAAACTTTGTTTTCATACAAATAAATGAATTATAATGAACTGTGCAAAATAATACGATTAAAATTACAATCCATTCTTACCTGTTCGTAACATTTTTTCAGTTTTTTTAAATTACTCTGATGACAAGTTTTGTTAAACTGAACATTATAGAATATTTCAGTTACAATTTTCTTTACTTTTGGTTCCATATTAAATATAAATTACACAATTATCGAACGTTAACTTTTCAAATGTAGTGCCAACAGTACAGTTTCTCTCTTAAATAAAAAAATCTATAACTTGTATTTAAATTTTCATAAAAAAGGATAAATAAACATATGTAAGTTTAAGCAATCTGTACTATTAAGTGAAAAATGTTTTACGAATAAATCATATTTTTTTTTTAATTGCGCAAAGCAATATTTATATTATATTATAATGTCAAAATAGTAACAATTTTTGTGTACATGTTGGTATAAGAAAACTCGTATTGGCAATGCAACTGTGTTTATAAACATAACCTTATTATTACCTATACAATTTACTGTTTATACCAGTAAATTATTGAAAATATTTTTAAAAGTTTCTGTATTAGTGTACCACATTCTTTTTTTACTGTTTCAATTATTTTACATTTAATATAAAATCAGTTAAACA